TGTTTCTCCCCTAAGTGTGTCCTTTGGTCTCACTGTGTGTGAATGCCTACAGTCCTGTATAATTATTCATGCCTGGTGTATTTTAGATCTAGCTTCCACATATGAGAAAACATGAGCCATTTGTCTCTCTCAGCCTGGCTTACCTCACTTAACATTTATTGTTCTAGGTCCATCCATTTCCCTGCAAATGATATTTTTTTCTTTCTAATGACTGTGTAAAATTCCATTGTGTACAGGTAACATTTTTTTGTGTCCACTCATCTGTTAATGAGCATCTGGATCATTATGTTACTGGGCTACTGTGAATAGTGCAGCAATGAACATGGATGTGCAAGTGTCTTTATGGTATCCTAGCTTGTGATGTTCTGGGTAGATGCCCAGGAGTGGTATGGTGTGTTGTAGGGAAGATCCATGCATTGCTGTTTAAAAAAAAGAATAAAAGACACAGCACAGTTTTTGATAACAGTAACAAAACAAAGCATAAAACAAAGTCCTGGGATGGACATAAAGTGAGGAATGGACAATTAAATTCATTTTAAAATAAGTCCACTTTTAGTACATTTTCTGCTAATCTGAACAAAATGAGTCTATTTAGTTTACTTTTTTAATATTTAATATTTTATCTTGGATAAAAGGAACGAAGAAAGTAACAGGATATAACTCAGTGATACTGGTTGATATGATCTCTACAATACCATTCTTCTAAACATAGTTTTAAAAAAATAATACAAGAACTATTTTACAGGGGTGGGGAAGAGTAGAGGGGTGGGAGATGGGAAGGGATGGGAAGGGGAAACAAAGGAGGAGGCAACAATGCTTGATAAGAAATGTACTCATTACCTTGCCCATGTAATTGTAACCCCTCTGTACGGTATTTTCACAATTAAAAAAAAAAAAGTACTCTTTACCTTACTCATGTAACTGTAACCCCTCTGTACAGCATCTTTATAATAAAACAAATTTTTTTTTTTAAAAAGAACTATTTTAGGTTCTTTTACAGATGTGCAGATTTTTCTTAGCACAGACCAAAGAATGAATCAAAAGGTAACTGGTAATTTCTTGGAGTCATTCTTTCCTACATCTTATTTTACATTTGAATTTTACATCTGATCACAAAATGGGTTAAGACTTCTTGATTCATGAAAATTATTCCTTTAAGATGCCTATGTCTATTCTATCACTATATTGCCAATTAACTAATCGGCATTTTCCTCATTTGCCAAAGGCTTTGTGATTCAACTAGTTATCATATTCATTTTACTAACAATGAAAATTTAAAATTTAAACTTTTTTGTAAGATGTGAAATTTTTCTCACAATCAATGCATAATAACTGATACTGTCTTTTGATATGAAGCATTAAGGAGACAGCTTCATAAAAAAACTGAAATCACATAATGCTAATGTTCTAGCAGAAGACATCTGACTGGTCAGCACACTAATGACCGTTTTCAGTTAGGATGACTTTTACTTCCTGAAGAAACCTTTTCACTTAGAAAAGTAGGATAATGAGCACTTTTATACAAACATTTAGATTCCTATTTCCATACTTAAAAGTCTTCGAACTGTGGCAGGGATTTGATTCCCAAGTCTAGTAACAAGATCAAATAATTTTGCTGTAACAAACACTGTACCTTCAAGATCCCAAAATTTCAACTCTACAAATTTTCCAGACATCGGAGTTCCTTAGAACTTGATTTCAGTCCTTCTTTTATTCTGTACTCACTCAAATGATCTCACCAATCCTCTGCCTCAAGGTATCAACTACAACAAATCTCCAAATATGTATTTTCAGTTCCTATCTTTCCTTTCCCTCCATGTATCAATACACACCTCATAGTTGGCAGACCAAAATCAAATTGTTTTCAAATGCCTATCTCCTATCTTTATTTTTTTTGAGGAGGGGAGGGGTGGTCGTGGGGCTTGAACTCTGGGCCTGGGCACTGACCCTCAGCTCTTCAGCTCAAGGCTAGGGCTCTGCCACTTGAGCCACAGCACCACTTCCAGCTTTTTCTGTTTATGTGGTGCTGAGGAATCAAACCCAGAGCCTCATGCATGCAAGGCAAGCACTCTACCATTGAGCCACCTTCACAGCCCTCTCCTATCTTCTTTTATTTTTTGTCAGTCATGGGGCCTGGGCGTTGTCCCTCAGCTCTTCAGCCCAAGGCTAGCACCCTACTACTTGAGCCACAGCACCATTTTGGGCTTTTTCTGCTTATGTGGTGCTGAGGAATCAAACCCAGGGCCTCATGCACGTGAGGCAAGCACTCTACCAACTAAGCCAAGTTCTCAGCCTGTCTCCTATCATTTTTATTTATTTATTTTGGTAGGTTGTGAGGCTTGAACTCTGGGCTTAGGCGCTGTCCCTGCACTCTTCAGTTCAAGGCGAGTGCTCTGCCCCTTGAGCCACAGCACCACTTCTAGTTTTCTATTGGTTTACTGGAGATAAGAGTTTCACGGACTTTCCTGCCTGGGCTGGCTTTGAACCACCATCCTCAGATCTCAGCCTCCTGAGTAGCTAGGATTACAGGTGTGAGCCACCAGCACCTGGCTTCCTATCATTTTTATTTATTTATTTTTTGGGTCCGGTCATGGGGCCTGAACTCTGGGCCTGGGTGCTGTCCCTCAGCTCCTCAGCTCAAGGCTAGCGCTCTACCACTTGAGTCACAGCGCCACTTCTGGCTTTTTTCTTTTTGCTTATGTGGTGCTGAGGAATTGATCCCAGGGCCTCAGGCATGCCAGGCAAGCACTCTACCACTGAGCCACCTTCCCAGCCCCTATTTTTAAAAGGTGCATTTTTCTAAGTTGTCCCCAACTTAACATCAGGCACTAGCATGATGCACATATCAGAAACCCAGGCATTTCTTGTTTTTCCTCACACATCTCCAAACAAATTGATGAGTTAATGTTTCAGGTTTACCATCAAAATATTTACTGTAGCTGCCCATTCCTCCTCTCCCCACTTCTTCTTCTTCTTTTTTTTTTTTTTTTTGGTCATTTCTGAGTTGATGGAGATCAACCCCAGGACCTTGGACTGCTAGCCAAGTATTCTATCAAGCTACAAGAACCACCTATTCATTTTCACTAAACCAAGTGCTCCTCTGGACTACTAATATTGTCTTGTAGATTATTTTCTATTCTTCTTGTCTTCCTCTATTACAGTATTTTCCACAGAATAGTCCATATTTAAACAATTACATTTCTCTACTGCTTCTGTTCAATAGCTTATAGTCATTTACACATCTTCGGCATGGTTTTCAAAGTCCTGAACAAGAGCTTTGAAGAGTTTCCCCTTTCCCATATCATCTAAAGGGCTCATTTCCTCTTTCTAACTAGGCTACAGACTACTGGCTTTCTCTACACCACCTCATCTCTCAGTGCCTTTATATTAGCTGGGAATGCTTTTTCCCTTGCCCTATTCTACGGTCAGATTCTTCTCATCTACCAGACCTCAGCTTAACTATTACCCTTCCAGAAAGACCATCCTTGTGCAATTTACCTGAAATTTTCTACGGCAGAGCGCCCAGTTTTCTTCAAAGCACTCAACTGTCATATGCAAACAAATTTTATTTAAAAGTAAAAAAAAAAACCAGCAACTCTTGTTTTCCCCAAATCAATGTAATCTCCAATAGGACACGAACCCAGTCCTGTTATTTACTATACCATCATCCCATTCCCAGACCTACAAACACCTGACTCTGATGTGTGTGTGTGTGTATATGTGTATGATACATATAGCATACATATTTACATTATATAATTAAGTAGGTTATCTGATGTAGACACTCCAATCAATACCTAAGTAGATCTTTTCCCCTATTTGTGCTATGATCGATAAAACTGACGCATTTAATGACTAGTGAACCCATCCAAAATCCAAGAGCCACAAGGAAGAAAAGTCAATAAACACATAACAAAAGGTGGAGCTGTTCTTACTTGGTGCTCGGGACGTGAATGCTTCGATTTTTAAAAATCCCCTTTATAAACAGCTACAAATGATGAAAAAGGACGACCGACGAAAAGCGGGGTATGCTTTGGGTTTAGAAAAAGTGCTCCGCTTAGGACTTCCTAATCTAACCACTAGTCAAACCCTTTAAGGGTCAGAGACACAACAGCGACAGAAGCTGACCACTGCAGAAGCTAACCACTGCAGCATCCCCAATGCTGACGAGAGAACTCAGAATGTCTCCAACCCTCTCACCTATCTATTCCCAGCATAAATAATTTGCTCCTCTAGCTCGGAGAGCGGAATCCACCCTACAATTCCCCGTAACGTAATGCAGAGCATCTGAACTGAGGGGGGAAAAAAAGAGATCTTCCCTCCACGCTCCCATTCCCACCACGCTCGCGACTCCCGGGTCCCGGCTCCGATCTCGGCAGCACCAGAGAAGCGGCGGCTTTGGCCGGCCCCAAGGATGGAGGTACAGCACCGGACAGTAGGCCGGGAAGCCACAGGCCCCGCTCCGCACACGAAAGGCTCTGTGCGCTTCCGTTCTCCCCGCTATACTCCAGAGGTGTTGGTAGAGCATAGCCCCTTTGGCCTACTGCGCTAGGAGTCCCACATCAGTTGTGGGGGGTAGAAACCGGGACCCCCAGAGCCTCCGCCTCCTTACCAGTGTGATCCATGATTCGGCTCGCAGTGCACGATGGGAGCGGAAGCCACCCGCGCCGGAGTTGCCGCTCGCGCGTGCGCAATACGTTCCGAGTCCCGGGGAGGCGGAAGTGCGTCCGGATAACCCGGCTTTGACAAGCTTATGGCTTCTCTCACCGCCAACCCCCCCCTCCGGAGAGGGAGTTAGGCATAGTCTTGGCAGAGCCAGAAAACGCGAGTACGCGAGGGGCTAAGGTGTTGAGGTCGCTAGGGCGCCTCCGGTGCTTCAAGGGGAAGTAGCCTTTTATGGGTGAGCCGAGGGAGGCGGGAGAAATGGTGGGTGGCCTGAGGATCGGAGCTCGCGGTAGGTCCGCGGCCGGCCGGCCCGCCCCCGGCGGAGCGTGGCCTTCTGGGACTTGTAGTCCGCGGGAGCCTACCGGCCGGCTCAGTACGCATGCCTGGCCGTTGGGCGGAGTAAACGGTTTGGGGTTCACGAGCATCTTTCCTCCTCCCGGCCAAGTAGAGGAGCAAGCGCGGGCGCTCCGGAAGGTGTCTGCCGGCTGGAGATTGCCCGGGGGAGAGCTGGGGGCGGGGGAAGGAGGCTGTCGGCCCGACACACTGGTGGGCGGGAGGGGGGGGGAACGGTGTGCTATTGTCTAGGGTTCGCTTTGTCTGGAGACCCGCGCCACCGAGCGTGCGGACGCGGTTGGGGGGCCCCCCGTTCCGACCTCTGAAGTTCCTAACGTTAGAACCACGTCTATAATGCTGGGTGACGCTCATCTCCCAGACGAGAACTGCTCCTAAAGACTGCGGAAGGGCCCGGCGACGGGTCCCCCCGCAGCGACGTGCAGATGGCGGGGTGAGGGGTGAGCAGAGCGCCGGGGCTCGGCCGGAAGGGGGAGGTGAAGGCCGGGACCTCAAGCCAGGAAGAGAGAGTTACCACCCGCGGACGGTACCTAGCTCCAGCTCTTGGTCCCCGGGGTTTGTGGTGGCTGCTTTCATCTTGCTGAGCCCAAATTAAGACGCCAGTGGCCGAGGGCGATTTCTTCCAGGGCGGTCTCCACCTCGGCTCATTTGTGTCCACTCTCCTTCCCCAGCCTTTCTACACTGGATGCTCTCAGATGGATACCAAGAAGCACAATTAGTGCAGAACACAAGCTTGGGAGTCAAGGGATTTACGTTCTATTCTTGCTGTCCCTGGGTGATGACATCTTTTCCTGAGGTGGTTCACGCTTTCCGTACCAGGGTTCCTAGGACAGCTTTAAAAAAACACAAAAAGTAAAATGTTATGTGTGTGCAGTTGTACATCCTAGGAAGGACGATACTACTAGTGTGCCCGGTTATTGGGTGATTGGTTTACTGGGATTTTTTAAACGGACTTTGCTCCTTTCTCTGCAGCTTCATAAGTAAGTTTGTAGATATATCCACAACGAAGGTTGTACCTTTATTAAAATGGAAATGTTTGTGTTCCCAAGTGGTTTTTCTGGATATGTACCATTGCAGGGATTATTATTTGGGGAGGGGAGTGGGAAGGCTTAACCTTTCTCCCATACATCTCTATTCTTGATATCAAACTTGATGAGTTAAACTTAAGTTTGATGCGTCTAAGTTTAGAACAATATTAGTGACTACTGATGCCAAAGAGAATTTAAAAGAGACTTTAAATTATATTTTATGTAACTTGTAAGTCAAGCTTTGCCAGCATCCATGGTACATTAAGTTACAAAAATTTACTGAGTAGAAATTACTTTAATATTTATTTAATACTAGACATTTTATTTGGTTTGATATCTGTTACATTTATGTTACCTTAGAGTCTGTCTGTGCCTTCTATACATTTCTCCTGTTAATTGTGGTAGCCTCACTTCACCATTGTGGTGGCAATGTGGCAGGTTAACCTCCTTACCTATACTGGCCAATGTTAAATGTTCATAGATGTTTGTTTCTATCTTTCAGCTTTGTTAGCATGAATTGACCAAGTAATGAGTTTCATTCTGACATTTTCTTGTATGCATATAATGTACTTTGATCATTTTCACTTATTACCCATGTTTATCATCCCTCTCATTCCCTTTTTTTTCTTCTACATCCCTCTTTTTACTTTATGCTTCCCCTCAATTCCAAATATAAGAGAAAACATGATACTTTGTGAGAAAAGCTTATTTCACATCATCTCCAATTCCATCTGTTTTTCCACAAATGACATAATTTTGTTGTACTTTATGCCTAGATATGTTGATTGTGGATATATGCTGCATTTTCTTTTATCATTCATTTATTGATCGGCATCTAGGTTGTATAATTTGGCTATTGTGAATAGTGCCTTAATAAACATGGTGTTCAGACATCTCTATAATCTGACTTTCTTTTTTGTTGTTGGTCCTGGGCCTTGAACTTAAAGGGTGGTGTCTCAGCTCAAGGTTAATGCGCTACCACTTTGAGCCACAGTGCCACTAATAAGCTGATTTTCATTCTTTTGCATATACAGAATCACATCACTGAATCATATGTTAATTCTATTTTTAATAATTTGAGGAATCTTTAAAGTGATTTCTATGGTGGCTGAACTAATTTACATTTCCACTAGGTGTATAAGGAATCTTCTTACCTGTTTCTTACCAATATTTGTTGTCTTGTTTTCTTGCTGATAGCCATTCTGACTGGGATGAAATGAAATCTCAGTAAAGTTTTGATTGGTTTTGCTTTCCTTGATGGCTAAAGATGTTGAACACTTATTGCCATTTGTACTTCATTTTTTAAAAAGTATTCAGCTTATTTGCCCTCTTTATTTATTTTTTTAACTCTGTGTATACTGTTTAATGAATAACTGGCAAATGTTTTCTCCTGTTATATAGTCTCTCTCTTCACCCTGTTTCTTTTGTTATGCAGAGGCTTTTTAATTTAATACAATCCTTGCTATTATTTTCATCTATTGAGTCCTATTCAGAAAGTCATTGACTGTGCCTATCTTTCAAGTGTTTTCTCGTGTTTTTAGTAGTAGTGCCAAACTTTCAATTTTTGCTTTAAGGTTTTTGTTGCTTGCATTATGCTCACCTTTGGTCCTCAGCTCCACCTATACTTGAGCTCCTCCCTACCAAGGAGTTTCCTCCTTACAGCTGGCCACTCCCTCTCTCCGGCCCAGACCTGCCTGAGCTCCCACTTAGCTCACTTCCTGCCCCAGACCACCTACTACCTGGGTAGGGGACTAGTGGCATGTGCTCCCTCCTTGGGGAAATATGGCTCCTCTAATAAACCTTGTAATAATCTTCCTCCTGTGGTCCTCTGGGTTGGATGTGAAGGATTCCTTTCATTTGTTAAATTTTGAATTGATTATACAAGGTGGTACATAGGAATCTAGTTTGTCCTCTATATGTGGTTATCTGGTTTTTCCAATACCACTCGTTAAAGAGGCTGTTTGGAAATATTTGGGTACCTTTGTCAATCAGATGGCTGTGACTATGGGCTTGTTTCTGGATCTTCTGTTGGTCTTCATATTTTTGTTATTGTTGTTGGTCGTGGGGCTTGAACTATAGGCCTGAGCACTGTCCCTCAGCTCTTCAGCTCAAGGCTAGCACTCTACCATTTGAGCCACAGCACCACTTCTGCCTTTTTCTGTTCATGTGGTGCTGAGGAATTGGGTCCAGGGCCTCATGCATGCAAGGCAAGGGCTCTACTGCTGAGCCACCTTCCCAACCCCTTCATATTTCTTTAAATGCCAGTACCATTGTATTTTTGCTTCTATAGCTTGTGGCAGTTTGAGGTCAAGTGTTGTACTTGCTACCACCAGCACTGCTCTTTCTACTTAGGATGACTTTGGTCATTCAAGGTCATTTATGATTTTAAATGCATTTTAAGATTTCCATGAAGAATATCACTGGAATTTTGATGGAAATGCCTTGAATCTATGGATTGCTTTTAGTAATATGGCCACTTTTTAAATTAATTCTATCCATGAACAGGAACAATCTTTACATATTCTATTGTCTTATATTTCTTTTTTCAGTCCTCATTGTCAACTTTCTATATTGCTCTCTAATAGTCCTTGTTAGTGGCTTCTTTTTCATAATTAGTCACAAATTATCAAAAGTTGACATTATTTTCTCTTGAGGAGTCCAAACCTAGAGGGGAAAAAGGGCATGTACATAAAAATACACTCTTAGAGACCAGTGGGAGAGAGGAGAAAGGGAGAGTGGGTCAGGAGGAATAATATATGATCAAAGTATTTTGTATACGTCTGCAAAAAAGTTATAATGAAACATGTATTTAGCTGCAAAATGATTTATTAAGGAGCAAAAGGGATAAAAATGGAAAAGGTGAAAATGACCAAAATATAATATATGGGTATGGAAATATCACAATGAAACCTCTCACATTGCATGATGTGTTAATAAAACTAGTTGGGGAATTAAAAAAGTTGACATTAATATCTAGCATGGTACTGACCTATGGTTTCTAAAAATCAAGTCATAGTGGACAGTCTGAAGCACTAAGGGGTGTATAATACATGTAGTTTTTTTCTCTGGTACTGGAGTTTTGGCCTTGGGGACTTGCTAAAGCCACACTCCCCTCCCCCAGTCCTTGTTGCTTTAGTTCGTTTTTTCAGAACGTGATATAATACTAGCAGAAAAACAGGCAGCTTGCAGGTGGTAGGATAAGCTGATAATACAAAACCTGCCTGAATATGAAATGGGTGTGAGTGTTGGGGAATGGTACCTTTAAGAGGTGATTAGATCGTTAAGAGTGCCTTTCTTGTGGGAATGAGCTTTTACTCTTTGGGGAATGAATTTGGTTACCATAAGAGCAGACTATTATAAAGCAAATTTGGAGCCCTGGTGTGGTTTCTGTACTCTCTAATCCCAGCTACCCAGACTTGTTTATTAAAAACAAACTAGCATGAATAAAAACATAAAGACCTTATCTTCTGGGAAACAACAAGAAACAAAAGTTTGGGGGTGTGGCTTTGGGAGTAGAACACCTGCCTAGTAAAACAAGTTTGGCTTCCTCAACTTTCTTATTTGCTTCCTCTCTCACCAGTAACACCTGACCCCTACACATAGGCTGCTCTTTGCTCTGTGATACTATGTGAGGCCCTCACCAGAAACCAATGACAGTGCTATGCTCTTGGACTTCTAAAACTGTGACATAAATAAATCTTAAGAAAAAGAAATCTAGTCTTGGATATTTTTTATGCCAACACAAAATAGACTAAAACATATTTGTAAGGTATATTAAATAGGTTACATTAGGTAGCTGATGAAGAGAACACCACGCGCTATTCAGGCAGAAGAAGTTTATTTACCGAACTGCTATCCTCCGTTGTGCATAGTGGAGAGGCATGGCTGAAAAGGAAAGTGGCAGACCTCCCTCCCACCCCAATTATCTAGGCCAGGGACAGGAAGAGGTGTGGCCACACTGGATCTGGACGTGACCTCAGGGTCTGGGACCTTCGTAAGGTAAGGTCAGATGGGAGGCAAGTGACCAGAGGTGGCCCAGGATGTGACCTGTCAGGAGGGGAAGGTGACTTCTTCCAGGTCTGCGAGTTACCTAGGTAATAGATACTGGGCAGAAATTCAGTCAGGAGGTAGGGAGGTGTCCCTGTGCAGACCTTACAATATTAAACTGCTATATATCCATGCCATTGTGCTGTTAGGAGTCTGTGATGCTGCTTCCTAGACTTGAGAAAACTTGTCTGCCAGCCCCCTGACCCTAACCACAGCTACCCTTACATACCAGTCAGAAGAGGTTTGCTAGCTTCTCTTGGCTCTGTTTTGTAAATGTATATGTCCCTCCAGAATGTGTATGGTAAAACTTAATCTTGGGCTGGGAAGGTGGCTCAGTGGTATAGTGCTTGCCTTGCATGCCTGAGGCCCTGGGTTCGATCCCTCAGCACCACATAAGCAAAAAGAAAAAGAGCCGGAAGTGGCGCTGTGGCTCAAGTGGTAGAGCGCTAGCCTTGAGCTGAAGAGCTGAAGGACAGCGCCCAGGCCCAGAGTTCAGGCCCCATGACCAGACCCAAAAAAAAAAAAAACTTAATCTTGCCAGCCACTGGTGATTCATGCCTATAATTGTAGCTATTCAGGAGGCAGAGATCACAGGATTGCAATTCAAAGCCAGCCTAGGCAAGAAAGACCATGAGACTCTCATCTCCAATTAAACACCCAAAAAGTCAAAATTAGAGCTGTGGCTCAAGTGGCCAAATGCTAGCCTTGAGCACAAAAGCCCAGGAACAATCCCTGCAGTGATAGTATCAACAAGGTAGAATCCTTGGGGACAGTGCCCTCATAAATAGAAGTCAAAGAGCAGCGATCTGACCATCAGACCTATGAATACAGTGTTTCTTCTATTTCCTTTATCTTGCGAGGATGGTAGCAGGATGCCATCTTGGAAGCCTCCCCAAGTACCAATCTGTTGGCACCTTGACATTGGACTTTCTAACCTCCAGACTGAATAAAAATGTTTGCTGATGGGCTGGGAAGGTGGCTCAGTGCTTGCCTTGCATGCCTGAGGCCCTGGGTTCGATTCCTCAGCACCACATAAGCCAAAAGAAAAAAGCCGGAAGTGGTGCTGTAGCTCAAGTGGTAGAGTAAAAGCCTCGAGCTGAAGAGCTGAGGGACAGCGCCCAGGCCCAGAGTTCAGGCCCCACAACAGGACCCCCCCCCAAAAAAAAAATGTTTGCTGATTATATAACATGCTTAAATAACTCATGCGAGTTGTAGTACAAATAGACTAAAACACCTGGTTTATTTGGCTTATGAATAGACCCTGGGTAATTGGGGTGGGGGTGGGGGAAACGTTGCTTTTTATATGGTTCAGACAAGCCTGATGATACTCTTGCTTCAGTCTCCTAAGTGCTGGAATTGTAGACTTCTGCCACCGTTTCTGGCTATGATAGTCACTGTTATTGTTTAGATATTTCTCATTGTAAGGAATTTCTTTTATACTATAGCTTACCATGGTTATAGATTTACATATACATGTAAGCATCATAAAGCTTCACTTAGCTGTATGTATGCTCACTGCTATTTCTATTCTGCTATTTAAAAAAAATACTAAAGTTGACATCAGAATGCACTAAGTGGTTGTAATCTAAGTTTGAAGACCATGACTTTACACTCAAGGTATTCTGGAGAGTTTATACTATTCAAGAAATATCTGAGAAGAAGGATTAATCTTAAATTGGGGATGTTTATTCCAAATTGATGCAAAATAATAAAGAAGAAGAAAATGGAATTTAAGGCCAAAGAATGCCAGGAAATTCAAAAACAAATTATTTGGAGTTTTTCCTGTCATGGATAATTCCTACCTCCCAAACAGGATCTTAAGTGGGGAGAGAGGGGGGACAG